GTTAGATAAAAAATTATGAAAAATTAGGGCGATACAACAATAATGAAAGTTAAGGTGGTGAAAATTTTTTTTATAAAAAAATTAAATGCGTGCTAATTAATTAGTAGATAAATGGGTAGTTACATGAGACATGTGTTAAAAATATAATTAATTAAAACCATGTGTGATTATAAATAATTAAAGATTCTAAAAAAAATGAGTGGACAAATTTTCAAGTAACCTCGCACCTAATTTGATTGTTATATATTATATATATATATATTATAATATGATTTGAAGCTAGATCATATAGAGCAGGAGTGGGAGCAAGAGCGCAAATGTGGCAAAATTCAAAATATTTGGGAACGGGAACACGTTTTGAGAGTATCATATTATATGCATTCATACACACATTCACTCATAAAAATTAAATTTTATGCACAACTATGTGATAAAACTCTTTAATTTTTAAATGCATACTGATTTTAAGGTTCTAAAATAGCAATTATAAATTATAAATATCATTTAATTTGATATGCATTGGTCCATGCTTTTCTATTAAAGTTTAAGTAATAAATAAGTATATAAGTATCTAAGAGTAAAATTCGGGAAACTAAAAAAATTGAATTTACAAATTTTTAAAATAAGAACACGACTTTAATACAAATTTGCTTGCAAAACGCGAATTTGCGCATGAAACGCTGGAACGTCAATTGTTTTAAAGGATGGAATAAGGATCTTTTTTTTCTTTTTTCTTTTTTTGGTGCATTGGAAAGTTAAAAGAGACCTAATCTAAATAGAGTTTCTAAAATAAACAATACTGGCCATATTAGCCACAAAAAACATTTGACATTTGGGGTGGTGGATCTTGTAGCTCCACAAATGCCTCCATCTATTAAACACCAAAATTAGCCAATATGTTTGCACATTAGTTTCCTTTTCTGAAGGTGTGGACTGTGAAGAATGGGGATATGGTTAGTCCCCGCCATATTTCTGCAGCTTGATGATGGCTCTGTTTGAGTGGACCTCGTCTGGATCAAACAAAAGCAACTTAACAGCTTCTAGCGAGTCTGTTTCCACAACATTGGTAATCTGTCGCCTTAGCAAGAATTCAAGCCCTTTCAAAATCGTCCAAAGCTCCGCTTGATTGATCGTTATATCATTCATTCTCCCAATCTTGCCAATAGGAAAAAATATCAATCATTATGCCATGGGGACGCACACGTGCACGCGCACATGCACAAAACTGGTTTTCTAAATTTCTTCGCATATGGTGTTAGATGGAGCAAGTAAATGCTCTCTTTCGACATTGGGCACCAATTACGGGTACCAATAACCAATGTGTGTGTCGGGTTGGGTTTTTTTTTTTTTTTTTGGGGGGGGGGAGGTAGTACTGGGGGAACTGGCACACCCATAAATGTGCACCTATTAATCACACAATTTTCCTTTGCCGACAGTTCTTACACATATGTATTTATGCATCTGGGAAGTTTCCATTTCTAAATTTCATATTATGATAGTAAAAATGTCGGACTAACAACATTCATATTGTATACTAAAATTCGAGTATAGTCACTTTGCATGAATAATATCAAATATTTGGCCTGCTTCTGATCCACCTCTCCTAACATTCTTGATTATCAGAGGCCAGTAATGACATTTTATGCTTCATCCTCAAGCTATGACCAATAGGGTAATGAGCTAGACCTAAACAATTTTTATTTTTTTTAGTTTAACGGTCGAGATTGTTTGTGTTAGCTTATAAGTACTTCAATTAATTTTCTTTACGATCCAATCAACGACAGACTCTTTACACCGGAACTAGGGTATTGATGAGAAATAAATCTCTCGTGACCTGTTCCTAAGGGATATACTTGACTTAAACAACTTTGACATAATGATTTGGCATCAACTTGTAGAAGTATCAAGACAAAAGGGTAAGCTGCAAGGCCCAGGCTAAACCAAGGCAAGCACCAACTAGGTTATCCCTATAACCATTGATGCTAATGATGATGTGGTTTGAAATTGAACTAAAAGAATAATGTGTGTGTGTGTTTTATGAGAAGGATGGGGAAGATATGGGAGAGGAGATTATAGTTCAAGTCAACATTTGAATCTAACACTGCCATCCTAGGAAAGAAGAAGGAGATGGGCTTAATATTAATATAAAGAATATTGGATGTCTCTCCCTATAATTATATTAAAATCACTGTGGAACATATAGAAATTATATTAGAATGTAAGGAAGCAATGAAATTATAATATGAGGTTTAACAACCTCAATGGAACCCTATTTCCTAGGCAACTTAGAGACCATTCTTCAATACCTTTGATCTTGATGACTTCCTACCTTAGTGGGTCTCACCTATTGAATGACCTGAGTAGCTCAAATGTCATCCTCATTGCACACTTTCATGTCGGAGTCCATTAATTTCTTGGAAAAGTTTATAGGACCAAAATAAAAAAATCGAAGAAGTTCTTCATTGGTTGAGTTTGTAAGAGATATAGAAGGACAGATTCGACAAATTAGGTTGAGTCAAGTTATAAGTCAATCGAATCATATCAAGATCATAACATGTTAAAACTGTGACTCAATGAAATTCAGTTGTAAACTGTCATAGAGTGTTAGAATCAATCAGTTTGAATCATAATTTGATCAATTTGATCCTTTCTCACCATTTTCTTTTTCCAAAGGCATAGGCAAGAATGTAAATTGACTCAGTGGTTTAGATCCTCCCACGCACTTAGATGCTTGAGCTATTGAATATGCGAGGACTACCACTATGATTGAAGGATTCATATTGATGAGTCAATTGCCCATTTTTATTGTGTGATGTGATCATGGAGGGAGACGAGTGAAAGGAATGCTCAAGTGTTTTGGTCAAGCTACCTCTTTAATAGAGTGGTCAATTTGTCTATCCATCAAGGCAGTTGGCAATCACCATCCGAGCTGGCTATTTAATATTAAATTTTATTTATTTAGAATCGTTCCCGACTCTCGTATGATTATAAAATAAGATACGATCTACAAGAATAACACGGTTTGCTTCATGATTTTGATGATATTATGGTGACATGCTGCTCTTCCGAGTTAGTATCCATAGTTTGAATCGGCCATTTCACAATGGATAGACTCTTATGATCACGCCTAAGAATTATTACCTATTGGTCGTCCTTCTCCATTTTAAATAACTAAAAAAAAATGGCAATCGAATATGCATAATTCAAATTCTCCCCCCCTCCCTCCCTCCCTTCCTTTAAAAGACCACATGGTAATGTATAAATCGGGTATCAACCTAAATGATTTTCTCATAACTTTGCACAAAACAATATCATTATATTCGAACCCACAATCTCAAGTTAGTTTAATTGAGAAATAGTGTAATTGCCAGTGGTACAACCGCTGATGCAATAAGGTGTGAACTCGGGGGATTTTGGTGGATGGGTTGGTTTGCCCATTTACTGCACACTATCAACTCGAGGCTCTCCATGTCCCATCCCTTTTATAGTAGTATAAACCCTAAAGTCGTTCACAATAATGCATGGATGTACCTTACCCCAAAAGGCTATTAATGCATTCCCTCATCCAAGGGGAATTTGACCATTCCGGGACATAAACCATCAGCTGAAAGATTCTTTTCAATCGAGGATCAAAAATTTATTTTCGAACGATTTTAAAGAAGCTGAATGAATTAGTGATAAAACTAAAATTCTAATATTTTGAGATATTTTATAATGTTTTGAGGTGTTTTATAATGTTTTAAAGTGCTACAAGATACTTTGGTATATCTTGACTAATATTTTGAAAAAATAATTCTTATTATTTTTATTTTTTTATTCAATTTCTAAAATGGATCGAAAAGTTTCCGAAATATTTCAAAACGTTTTTCTTTTTTAGGTGATTAAAACAATACATCAAAACACAATTTTGATCTTTACTAAAAATTGAAAACTCGATTTATAGTACTATAGTTCCTCAACTGGACACGTGAAACAATTATTTTATTTTATTTCTCATTTCTGCCATCAATTATTATACATAATTCAGACTAAGATCTACTATCGAAATTAATTTTTGTTATTATACTAAAACAATTAATTTCTGGCACAATACTTAAAAAAAAAAAACAGACTGCAAAAGCATGTAATTGTAAGAGACAAACAAAGCACCCGAGGAATAAAAGAAAGAGTAATGCTAAATAGACTTAAAAATTAGACTTGATAATCTTAACTATTGAATAGGTAGTGAATCCTAATAAATGCTGAGACCCACAATGAAATTAATGATTGAAATTATCAAGTTTAATTTTTAAGTGCTCGAAAAGAAAATATGAGATGGACGACTAGGAAACCACGTGGGGTTGTCTAACTTTTACCCCGTGCCTCGTTGCTATAATATGCCTTACACACGCTGTGCATCGATCGGATGGAAACCCACTTCCAATCAAGATCACATTCTACTGTATCAATGGCTCGATTTGGATCTAGAGGCAAGAGAATGATTTTGCAAACATAAAATAAATCCCGAGATACACGAATTATTGTGGTGTCCGAGGAAACTCAGATGTACACAACACAAGAGAAAGACCGTTTCATATGTAATGGACTATTTGTTTTTTTGTTTTTTTTTAAGTCTAAGAGTGAAGGGTATATAGACTAGCTTATACGACAGAACGTCTGAAAAACAAATTTCACCCACAGGCATTCAATATACAGTGGAAGTGGAGTACCAAAGTTCTGTTTTATACCTTATCAGAAGGCATCAGAAATAAGTAGTAAAAAGACAAAGAATAAGGAGAGATACTTATCTATATTTTGAGAAGCATTCAAAACCTGGACTAAAATGTTCTGCTTACATGATTTCTTAGCGGCACGGACAAGATTCCACACTACAACCAGGAATCCATAGCAGACCCATTTTACCATTTTCTTCTCTTCTAAGTAGCCATCTTTCCTAAGCTTCAGAGGCACCACATTACCCCCCCACACCAAGAAACATCTTTACCATTTACTCAAACAAACTATCAAATAAAATGACACACAAAAAATGCCGTCAAATTAAAGAGCTAGTAAGATTTTAAAGTCTATTCTTTGAAGCAGTGTTCTTCTCACCACCACAGCCGTATACATATAAGGCAAAATAAATTAGTAGAATCAAATTTCAAGGACAATGGTTCTGCTATTAAAGTTTCACCATCTTCCTCCATCCATGGAAGCTAAAATTCGAAAAAGAAACCTCCATTTGCTCCATCCATCACTGGGAAGCACGAGCACCAACTCCATAGTTGGATTCTGCACTGAGAGTATAAATATTCATCCAGGTTCAGAAAGGACCTGTGAATGGTTATGCTCTATTTACAGATTAACAGAGGCTTACCCAAACTTCTAAATTCCTCAATCAACCTAACACCTACTTTTGTAACCCACAATGTGTTAGTCCATTAGCAACTACCTTGTCATATAAACAATTACCCTAATTTGATCCTATCTTTTGTTAGACTTCCACCTTCCAAACCAAATTATCCCTGCTGCACTCTCGTGTTTTCTCCAATGCTGCAACCCTAGCCCGATGAGCTGCGAGCGAAATTGCACTCTTTCCCCTTTCCTCATGAGGGAGTTCACAGGTTTCACTGATGGATCCAGATCTTAAATCAGCTGGGGGGATAAAACAGTCTAGTGACAAGCCTGGAACGTTGAATGCAACCTCTTCAATTGACCAGGCTTCTTCCATCCTTGTTTTGGTATGGCTGAGTGCCATCTCGCCAAACCTGAAAAGGGTCACCACAGAACGGCCTGAGTGGGCAATCATTATCCCTTCAACGGGCTTGTAATCATCTACAAAAGAGTTTATAGTTGTTTCCCAGTAAACAGCTTCATCGCCATTGGATTGAATGCGGGTAAGATGGGAATCCTCCATGTGAACAAGAAGTCCTGTCTTTTGGCTGAAGTACCCAAACAGGACATGCCTTATGATCTCTGCTGGGCCTTCACTCCTAGCCTTTAATGTGTGAGGGTCAGCACAAAGCTTAAGGATGAAGCACTCCTCTCCATTAATCTTCTTCTCACCTATGCACCTGGCATCTGCAAACATACTAGCAGTGGTTCTTGGATCAAGGCCCTACAAAGAACAGAGCCACATCTAGAATGAATTAGAGGACTAAGACAAAAGGAAATAAAACAAATAATAACTACCTAAAGCAGAGCACATCAATTAGAACATAGCATCACCTGAAGGGCACGACGTAAGGGCCTAACAGGCCCTTTTGCAGTGTGAGCACCAAGCCAAGGGGTGTGCCTCCAGACAAGCTTGCCATTGCAGCCTGCGTGAACTTTGCTTCCCCCAATTGCAAGCTCAACATACCACATGTCCGGATTCATTTGCCAGAGGACAAATCCGCCTGACTCAGCAGCTCTAGCAGCATTCTTATTCTTCACAACCTTTGTCGCAGTTTCAAACTCGCAAGCTACCATCTTCACCTTCCCCATGGCATAAGCATTTCTAATTGAGTTTTGGAGCTTTTGCCCTCCGGATGCAGCTGTATATTGCTGCAATATGTACTGGGCAGATGACGTTTCCTGCAATATTACAATGCACAGATGACTAACTTTTTAGCATTTCACCAGCTTAAAGGGGAGAGAAGAATCTAACAGTGACTCAAGGGGTTGAACTATCACAAACATAATACTAATAATAATAATATCAACTTCTTCCCAATTCTTGGTTGTGTGTTAGCTAGTGCAGAACTTCAACTCCCAAATCACGGACTGAAATCTAAATTACAATTCTATGTTTTTTCCGGAATCCTAAAGATTATGTCAAGCAAAGTTATTGATGGCTTGCTTGACGTGATCTTCATTTTCCCCGAGTTTCCTCATGAACAGAACAAAACAACAAACCAAAATAGACGATTAGACCATAAAAATTGAATGATTCCATGGATGGTGAATCAGCAATTTCCAAACTAAAGCTCTTCTACATACTGGCTTGGGTAAATTTAAAGCACAAGTCTGACAAAACTCAATACAGGTAAACTAAATCTAAATCGAAAAATATAATTTAAATGGAATAATTTGATTAAAAAAAGGGAGTAAGAAGAAAATGCAAGTACACAAGCTACCATAAAAACAGTTAAACTTCAGTAAAAGGAGAGAGAGAGACATACATATACCTAAACTGCACACACACGCACAGAGAGAGAGAGAGAGAGAGAGAGAGAGATTTACAATAGGAGTGCTCTTGATGCTGAGATGTGGCAAGGGGTCAGTGGTGCTAACGTGCACCGGGGCGAGGGGGGCACCCATTACACCAAGCAACAGCCTGAGATCAGACCTCCTCAACCCATTGGAAGCCACCGAGGGAGACCTCGAGAGCTGTCCCTTCACCCAATACCCCAACCCTGACCCGGCCCGCTTAGAATCCCCGAATCCCTCATCCGGATCCGGACCCTCCATCAACGGCGTTAATGTCTCAGTCACCGGCCTCAAACTTCCCGATCTCGCGATCAACGCCTCAGGATTCGCCACGTAGTGTTTGCTGTTCCTCCTTCGGAACAGGCCGGACATCGGCGACACACTCCGAGATGGACTCTTTCCACGTGACCTCGCCGGCGATAAACCTCGAACTACTTCTTCTTTTAGAGCCGCAAAGAACCCTTGTTTTCTCTCCATTTCGGTTCAAATCCTTGAGAACTATATATATCGATATGTATATATATATATATCAACAATGTGTTAGTTATAGAGAGAGAGAGAGAATAAAGAGGACTATGGGTGATTTCTCCACATAGATGGATCTTCCAAGAGAGGTGTAGAGTAGAGTAGTTACTTCATAATCCTATGCAACTAAAAATGGAGAGAAAATGGACCAATAACTGCAAAACTTTATAGGGTTGAATATGCAGAGATGGTAGTTTCGCAGAGAGAAAAACAGAGGTCAGTGGTGTAGTGGGTGAGTAGCAGCAGTGTGAACTGGTTCTACGAAAACGATTGGAAGACACCACTAAACTAAAAGGGTTTTAGAGAGAGAGAGAAAAGGAGGGTTGTTACATTGAAGAGAGAGAGAGAGAGGGAGAGAGTGTGTGAACGCGACTTTGGAGAGAGGAAAGAGAATGTGATTGCGGAGAGAGAGAAAAAGTGTGTGCTGTGTTGCTGCTCCTGCTCTAGCACCGTGTTAGTAGGAAGAGAAAGTGAACGTCACGGGCGGAGCAAGAGAGTAAAATAGTGTTAGTAAACACCTCAGTTATTCTCAATTTAATTCTTCTAACTATTAATTTTATATAAACGTAGACACATAAAATGGACAATTATATAACAATAATTAGATTAATAGTGATTTTAATTCTTAAAGTATGTTTATTTTATCAATTTATTTTTCATTATATTAATTTTATCAATTTAATCTTTAAATTTAAATTTATTTTATTTTAGTCCTTAATCATACAATTAATTAAATTTTTTGACGGAAGTGAAGTAATACGTTACGTGTTCAATACGTGATTATTTTATTAAAAATTTAATAATTCGTTTATATAAAGATAATTTAAACACAAATTTAATATTTTATAGATAAAATTGATACTTTAAAGACTAAATTGATAAAATTTGTATATTTTAAGAATCAAGAATATTATTATTCCTTAAATTTATCTTCATTTACTATAATGAGTAAAATATATGGAAAAATTTTATTAATATTAAAATTAAATTAAAATAATTAAAAGATTAGGCAGAGTTGATTGGAGGTATATCATAAGGTTGTTGGTTTTAACCATTGACCGCGCGTGATTTTCTGTTTTCGGATAGGAGCGAATCACGGCCATTACCATATCTGTTGGTCCAAAGAAGATAATTGCTGCGTGGTCTCTACCGCTTTTACTTTTTCTTCTCGTTTTTTGTGTCTTGAATTTTCTTTTTCTTTTTTTTTTTCCGTCACAATGATTTAGAAGGAGGGGATGACGGACGGTAATCATTAGATTAATCATTATCTTATTAGTTTTTAAAGTTTAGAATAATTTCAAGATACGCAAAAACAAATTATGGTAATTATTATTTTTAAAAACAAAGTTATAATTTATTGAGTTAAATTAATTATCATGAATAATGAATTAACTGGATCAGTTGTCACTTCTCTCGTTTGCAATTTTTTAAAATCAGTTTGGCAAGTGCTTCCAACGTGAAGCATTCCAATAAGGATTTTTTTTTTTTTTTGGTAAGTTCAAATTGTTTTGATATGATGATTCTAATTAAACTTCATTCTTTTTATAATTCTAAGACTTTAATCTCTCAAATAACTTTATCTATCTATCTTACTCTCTCTTTTCATATTATTTTTTTTTTTGTTTTTGTTGTGTTGTTTCTACTATTATTTATTCTATAAAACAGATGAAATTGCATTTTATATAATTATTTATTTCATGAAACTAATTTAAAAATTTTATATATCTGACGGTATATATTTTGTCACTTACTTCTTAATTTGTAAATAACACTTAATATAAATAAAAAATAGCACATTGATTATAAATACCAAACAATATTCAACACAAAATAAATTTTAGATTGTAAATTAATATATACTTTTATCAAAAATTGACATTTAATTTTGTCCAATTTATATTCAATTTTTTCGAATTAATATCAAATTAATTTTTATTATTATCAAATTAATATTAAAATTAATTTAATCAATTTTTTGGAATATTAAATTATATAAATTTTTTAGGTACTAAATAAATTTTAATTTAATTTAATTTAATTTTTAATTTTTTTGATACTAAATTTGGAGAAGGGCAATTGTAAAAATAATAAAATTTTTTGGAATCAAATTATCAATTTCTGTTAATAACATTAACAGAATGGAGACAAAAGGAATTTCCATGATTTTTACTATATTTTTTAATTAAATATTGATTTATTATTATTTTATTTTAAAAATTTATATATTGTATTTTTAATAAAAGCAGTTATTGGCTAAGAGGTTTTCCTGATAATCAAAAAAAATGTGTGTGGGTCTGTTTTTATGTATATTTATACGTGGAGAATTGAGCATTTAGTGATTAAATTTATAATTATATTATATCGTTTGGAGCTAAATGATAATAATAGTCATAAATTCATGAGTTTTATAGATGAACAAGATTTAATTAATTTTATTTATCACTTCAAAATTATAAATTTAATTATATTCTGTTAATTTTTGTTTTTGAGGTATTTATTACATGGTGATAGGATGAATTCGAGATATAGTAGTTGAGTTTATAATTATGTTGTGTTATTAAATTGAGTGATAATAGATGTGATAAATTTGTGAGTCTTATAAATAAACAAAATTTAATTTATTGTTTAAAGGTTGTAAATTTTAATGAGTTATATTAATATTTTTTTTTCAAGGCATTTGTATATATGGTGTTATTTTGGGAAGTTTTTATATATTTTTATAACAGTTTCATTAATATGGATGATATGATCGACGATATATTTTTGAATCAATTTAAAATAAAAATTAGTATGAATATTTTTAGGTCGTTCATTTTGAATTTGAACAATTGTTTAAGACTTTTTTTATTTATTGTATACTACTTTCAAATACGAGTAATGACTGATATATTTATAATATAAAATATAATAAACTTTAAGTCTAACCAATGACCGGCAATATTCTTCCCAAATCTATTAACATTGAATTTTACCTTCATCTCCTTACTCTTCACTCTCTCTCTCTCTATGATCTACACTCCTCAATTTTTTAATTTAACCAGTTGATTTACGTTGCACTGTATCTTTGGTCACCGGTTACTTTTAGTATGTATACATGCATGGACTTAACTATTTATTAAAAAAATGAGTGAGATTTAAGAATAAATATGTTTAAGGTATAACTTAAAGCTTTATAAATTTTTTAAATATGACTGACCCCCAAATATATATATATATATATAAAAGTAACCGGTCCCACTAAATGAAGTTTGACCGGAGTTAACTAAGGTATCAAAAAAAAATCGGTATCATACCTTTATTTATCACATTTGTAAGTATTTTTATCACTGTTGTGATATTAAAAAAAATTTATAAAAATAGATATCATAACAATGGTAAAAACATCCATAAATGTGATAAAAATATCAATATATATAATAAAACATCCAAAAAAGTAATAATTTTTTTTATATGAAAGAAAAGTGATAAAAATAATTATCACAAAAATAATAAAAGCACCCACAAAAATAATAAATCACCCATAAAAATAATAAATTTTTTAGTTATAAAATAACCTATAAATATTATAAACATACCTTTAAAATAATAAAATTTGAAAATATGGTACTAACTTTGTTTTCTCCGTATCATAGTCAAATCCACTAATTAAACTTCATTTGCTGACGAATATTTTCTTGGGAAATTTAAAAGTCGGTATAATTTTTTAAACTTATTTAGACAAAAGTATAAATCAAAAACTTATTTGAGATAAAGTGCAAATTTTTTTACAATACAACTATTGTCATCGATAAACAGCATACGGATGGAAAACCCTTGTGTATTTTTTTCTTTTCTTTTTTTTGGCTATAATCAAGTAATGGGAGGTAAAATAAGGGCATATTTTTCTAACAATTTCTCTCTCTCTCTCTCTCTTTCTCTATTTTCTCTTACTCTATTTATATTAATATTACAACAACACAATTATACTAATCAGTTACATTAATTAGTTACAATTGACATATAATGCACCAAACAGTTATTCATGCATTCTAATAAACTAAACAATTATATAAAATAATTACACAAAATTATGACATCAACTCAATTTGTCATTCAGCTATTTACATAAACTAAATAGTTGCATCATTTAGTATTGCGGTATCATTACACCATCATGCTTTAACAATTGCATGAGACTGTGATTATTACACCAATTAAAAAATAGTTACGTTCATTTAAAAAATAGTTACACCCATTAAAAAATAGTTACATCAATTAAAAAACAGTTATACCTATTAAAAAAATAAAAAGATTCTTTTTTTTCCTACATCCGAACAACAAATAACAAAACATCTTGACCAATTCTCTTTTTTCTTTTTGAAAAAAATTTAGAATTTGATCAATCATCATAGTAAAAAATTTATTCTTTTTTGTCAGATGATGTGGAAGCAAGGTTGGTGGCATGAGACGACATATATATGTGTGTGTATGCGCGCGCGTGTGTGTATATATATATTTCACTTATACTTTGAATCCATTTTCCTTCATCTTTATCTTCTAGCATAAAATACCTTTGTTTTTGCTTCCTCTCACTCTCTGTAAACTCCTATTTTACCTTTCATTATTATTGTTAATCTTTACATATTTGTTTTCTCAAATAATTGTCAATGATGACTGCATAAATTAAGGAATGATGTTTAGGTAAAAAAGATTTTAATTCATTTTTAATTTTGTACCCAAACACAAAAAATTTTATAAAAATTATACTTAATAGAATAAATAATTTATTCACACACATTTGTTCAAATAAATCTAAAAAATTGTACCAACACCCAAAAAACCCTATTTTCTTCGACAGTTCGGTAGGCCCATTTTTGGGCCTATAAAGTCTGAACCCACTGGTAAATGTCCACTTGTGCAGGTAGAGAAAAAAAGAAAGGGAAGACTCCCCGGCGGCCCGGGGGGGGGGGGAGAGAGAGAGAGTGATGAGAAAAATTAAAACAAAATTGAAAAAGGAGAGAAAAAATTGCAAAAACCTTGTATCAAAGGTCATGTTTCCAAAATCTTGTGCCTAATCTCTTTTCATACTTTTTAAGGGTTAGTCATCTTTATCCCTTTAGGTTTATGCTCTAACACAATTCAAGTAACGGTGACCAACGACTGAACTCAAAAGAGTAGTCGGGACAAATCTTTCTACCCTGTAATCAAAAAAAAAAAAAAAAGTCATGTTTTGAAGGATTAAGTAGTTGGTTTAGTTTAAACCCCCCCCCCCCCTAAAAAAAAAGTAGGCTAAGCTAGCCTAACGTTTAAATTTGATTTATATGTTGGTACATTTTAATATTATATATAATTCATTGTACTAATGTACAATGCACATACATGAATTTTTATATACAATATATAATATATATAAATGTATTATAT